CTCGGCGGCGGCGGCGGCGGCGTAGGCTCCTTCTCAGGACCTGGCGAGCCCTGGCCTAAGCGGCGGCCCCTCAAAACCTCTGCACAGCGCCCCGAGCCGGGCCCTTCCTCTCCTCGCCCCGCCTGGGGAGCCCGGCGCCGGCGCTGGGAATCCCCGTGCGGTCAGTGGCGTTTCCGCTCGGGCAGCGGTCGTCCCCTGGGGCCGCCGCCGCCGCTGCCGCCGCCGCCACCGCCACCGCCACCAGCCTAGGGCCGCCTGCGGAAGCCGAGCGGGCGCCGGGGCCCTGGTCTCCGCCGGGTCCCAGGGGCGGCCGCTGCCGGTCTCCTCGAGGCCCAGGGCCCCGAGCTCCGAGCCCTTTGCTCGCTCAGCTGCTGGGGGACTCGGCAGCCTCGCAGCCTGAACCGCTCCTGGTTGTGGGAGCCCTGCGGAGCATGTCAGAGGATAACGCCATGGAGAAAGTCATCAAGGTAATAGGGAAGTGCCACCCTTTTCCACCTTTGTCCTGTGATTCTTCAGCTCTAGCCCCGGAAAATCGAGAGAACTTAGGTCGAGACCTTCCAGCGACTCCAGCCTTCCTGGGGTTCCTTGGACTGCGTTTGACAGCTCCGAGGCGAAGGTTTACCTGAGTGTGTGGGGTGGGCTGTCCATTTCCCTCCAACTTATTTGGTTAAAGTAGTTAGCGCTCAGCTAGAATGAAGGTGAGTAGCATAGAGATAACTGGTTTGAGTGGGATGAAGAGGGCCTTCTATGACCCCACGTTTCCATCGCGCCCCAAGTGCCTCAGCTTTTCAGTGGTGGGCTGCAATCCTTGGAGAGTGGCCTTAACGCACCCTTTCTGATGTGTTCTGATATGTTTGTGCCCTGGGGAATAGATTGTTTCTTCTTGTCTGTCTATGCTTTCTCTTCCTCCTGTTCTCTTCCCTAATTTCCTGGGGATCGGAGTTTATTTAGGAGGAGCTAACAGCACCCGGTGTTCTACAGTGACCCCCAAACGGGGCTGGGAATATAGCTCAGTTGGTAGAGTGTTTTCTTAACATGCATGAGGCCGTGGATTCCATCCCCACATCTGTATAAAGCTGGCGTAGTGCTGCAGGTCTATGATCCCAGCACTCAGGAGGCTCAGAAGTTCTGAATTAGAGCTAGCAAGATGGCTCAGCTGGTAAAAGAGACTTGAGGTCAACCCTGACCACCTAAGTAGGATCCCTGGGACCCATGTCATGGAAGGAGAGAACTGACTCCTGTAATTTGTTCTCTGACATCCGCGGGTGTGCAGGCACACACACACTAAGAAACAATATAAAAAAATAAGCCCAGAGTAATTTTTTTTATTGGTGTTTTTAAAAAATATTTTAAAATTTTATCTGTATGAGCCATCTCTTCAGCTCCCAAAGTCATTCTTGACTACTTAAGGAGTTCGAGGCCAGCCTGAGGCTGTAGATACACTGTCTATAAATAAATTAATTAATAAGTAAACAAATAATCTCTGTGAGGTTTGCCTGCTTCTGCCTCCCATGCGCTGCTTACTTCTTTTTCTCTTAATGGTAATTTTTTTAAGGATCAAGTTAGATATCTGTTACAGCTAAGAAAGTAGAGTTAATGTAAACTAAATATCAAAGCTTAATGTTTGCTGTATTATTTACTTTCCTATAGTGTTTTGTCAACCTAGTGCATTTAAGAACTCCATTTTTTCCTTGAGGAAAAAACATTATTGGTGTTTTGGAGTTATTTTCAAGATACTGCCTATCTGGTGTGCCCATTTATATATATATATTTTGCTGGGTGTGTTGGTCCACGCCTTTATTTCAAGCATTTGAGAGGCTGAGGCAGGCTGTTTTCTGTGAGTTCAAGGCCAGCCTGGTCTACATGGTGAGTTTCAGGCCAGCTGGGGCTACAGGAAGATCCCGTCTCAAAAAGACCCCCCCCCAAATTATACATTCTCAGTTTGTTTGGTTTATGTTATTCTAAAATAGTTGTTTTGACAATTGACAGGGTCTCACTGTGTAACCCTGGAACTTGCTACGTAGACTAGGCTGGGCTTGAACTCAGAGATTCACCTTTCTCCTCTTGAGTGCTGGGACCAAAGGTGTGTGCCGCCATACCTGTTAATTCATTTAAAAATATCTTATTATTTTATGTATTTGAGTATATTGCCTGCATGTATGTAAGTGCACCCGTGTCGTGCAGTGCACAAGGAGGTCAGAAGAGGTGTTGGAGCCCCTGGAAGTGGAGTTACAGACAATTGTTAGCTGCTGTGTAGGGTGCTGGGAATGGAACCCAGGTCCTCTGTGACAACAATCAGTGCTCTTAACTACTGAGCCATCTCTCCAGCACCTGCAGTTTATTTTAAACATATTTTTTTTGTGTCATGGAATTGCCTATTTTTCACACCGTGAGTATAAGAATTTCTCTTTTTTTCTTAATATTGAGCTTCAGAGAACATTTAAGGTCCACCTCAGATACAGATGAAAGTTGTTTACAGACGTACCATCTTGAACAAACTAACTTTTTTTTTTTTCAAGACAGGGTCTCATGCAGCCCAGGTTGGCTTCAAACTCATGATCCTCCTGCTTCAGCCCCCAAGTACTGGGATTACAGGCATTTGCCACTATCCTTGGCTCAATAAACTTTCTGTTAAAATAGTGGAGGAGGCTGGAAGAGGGTGTGTTGGGGGCGAGTATGAGCAAAGTACATAGCCTGGTTGAAAGGGGTGTGTGTGTGTGTGTGTGTGTGTGTTAGTGTGTGTGTGTGTGTGAATTTTTTTGTCTAGTTGAAGTTTTCACACTAGCTAATGTTTGTGTTGCTATCAACAAAGATGTTAGAGATAAATCTCAAGAGGAGGCCAGGAGCTGTAAGAAAAATGGGGTCTGGCTGTACCTCTCTTATCTTCTGCAAAATCAAGTGTCCAAACTCCAGAGTCTGTATGTGTTGAACTTTCTTTGCTCCCTATCAAGTAGAGCATCATCTTAAGTTTAGTGGAGGATTAGGCCTGAAGGTTTGTCTTTATATCCCTACAATTTGAACAACTTGTTAATGATATAGGCCTCTACATGTATTGGACCAGACTTTCTGGAATCTCAGAGAATACGCTTGACTATTGTAGGGGAGAGGCATTTAGTAGTTGCTGTACTCTAAGGGAGTGGGGTCGCGTGTGTGGGGTATATGTGGTGTGGGCGTACGATATGTATGTGTTTGCATGTGTGTAATTTGCTGGGATTGTCAGGCCTCTTGTATACTAGGCAGGTGTTTACCACTCATTTACAGTTCTAGCCCAGTTACTCTTTTTTGTTTTTTTTTTGGTCTTTTTGAGACAGTGTCTCCCTATAGACCCAGCTGGCCTGGAACTAATTCTGTAGACTAAGCTGACCTTGAACTCATAAGATCCGTCTGCCTCAGCCTCCCAAGTGCTGGGATTAAAGACATGCGCCACCACACCTGCTACTGCACTTTTAAATTATTATTATTATTTGCCGCAGAGGTCAGAAAAAGGCATTGGATCCCCTGGAACTGGAGTTAAGGGTGGTTTGTAGCTGCCATGTGGGTGCTGGGAATCAAACCCAGGTCCTCTGCAAGAGCAGTCAGTGCTCTTAACCACTGAGCCATCTTTTCAGCCCCAAAATATTTTATTATTTTTACTTTATGTATGTGAGTGTATTGCCTGCATGTATGTAAGAGCACCCATGTGGTGCATTGCCTGTGAATGTTAGAATAGGGCATTGGATCACCTGGAACTGGAGTTACGGACAGTTGTTAGCCTCCATGCATGTGCTGGGAATCAGGTCCTCTGCAAGAGGAGACAATGCTCTTAACCACTGAGCCATCTCTCCAGCCCCCCAGTTTCTGCATTTTGAAATACTCTTTTCCCCCACACCCTCCAAAAATTATTGGTTGTCTACTCAAATAGACCCTATAAATGGACTAAATAATTTCAGCTTATTCTGAAATCTCTTGTTATTAGAAGGTAGTGATAATGTAGACAGAATGTGTAATTATAAAGAACTGCAGATTCTTATAGGAGGTGTGATGTTGAGCCATATGTGCCCTACCTCTGCTAATTCAGCCTTTTAATAGGGGACTCATTCTCTACCCTACTCTTTTTTTAATAGGAAACCTCCATTTTAGAAGAATACAATATCAATTGGACTCAGAAGCTGGGAGCTGGAATTAGTGGTCCAGTTAGGTAAGAGATCCATAGGAGAACTGTGACACACTGCGTTGAGAAGGCCACTTAAAATGGGCGTGAATTGGAAGCATCAGATGTGCTTTGAGAACAAACCTCAGTTTAAAAAGTAGAATTTTTTTTGTTTGGGTTTGCATTTGTATTTTTGTAACGGTTTTGTGCATGCCAAGAACACACTGTAGCTGTGAGCTATAGCAGAGGGCTTTTTAAATTTTAAACTTTTGTGTGTGTGCACGCGCATAAACCAAAGGATAGTTTTCAGGAATTAATTCTCCCCTTCCTTCCTCTAGACCCAGGGTTTGAACTCAGGTCATCAGGTTTAGTAGCAAGTACCTTTTTTTGTGTGTGTGTCTCTGAGACAGGGTCTCCCTGTAGCCTGCCCCTGCCTCCCCAGTGCTGGGATTAAAGATGTGCGCTACTATGCCCGGCCCAGTAGCAAGTACCTTTGACCTTCTGAGCCATCTCACAAGCCCCTGGTAGAAGCTGTTTTGTTTTGTTCTTTAAAAATATTTTGTTATTTTATGTGTATGAGTGTACTGCCTGCATGTATATAAGTACACCCAGGTAGCAGCGGAGGTCAGAAGACACCCCTGGATTCCCCTGGAATTGGAGTTGTTAGCTGCCACGTGGCTGCTGGGCATCAAACCCACATTGTCCTCCACAAGAGCAGCCAGTGCTCTTAACCACTGAGCCATCTCTCCAGCTTTTTTTTTTTTTTTTTTTCTTTTTTGGTCTTTTTGAGACGGTCTCCCTGTAGCTCCGGGTGCCTGGAACTCACTCTGTAGACCAGGCTGGCCTCACTCACAGTGGATCTGCCCGCCTCTGCCTCCCAAGTGCTGGGATTAAAGGCATGTGCCACCACGCCCAGCCAGCCATTTTTTTTGGGGGGGGGGATATTTTTGAGACAGCGTCTCTCTATAGCCCCCAGCTAGCCTGGAACTCACTGTGTAGACTGGGCTGGCCTTGATCTCACAGAGATCTGCCTGCTTCTGCCTCCCCAAGTGCTGGAATTAAAGGTATGCTCCACCATGCCTGATTTTTTTTCTTTTCTTTTTTTTTGGTCTTTTTTGAGACAGGGTCTCTCTGTAGCTCTAGCTGGCGTGGAACTTGCTGTGTAGACTAGGCTGGCCTCAAACTCACAAAGATCCGCCTGTCTCTGCCTCCCAAGTGCTGAGATTAAAGGTGTGTGCCACCATGCCCAGCACTTTTTTTTTTTTAAATTAAAGGTTTATTTTTATTTTGTGTATTGTGTAGGAGTGGTCTGTATATATGTATGTGTACCATGTATGTGCCTGTGGAGGTAGAGTCCCTGGAACTGGAGTTATAGACAGTTTTGAGTTGCAAATTGGGTGCTGAAAATCAAATGAGTCCTCTGCAAGAGCTGCAAGTGTAAATGCTCTTTAACACCAAGCCATCTTTCCAGTCCACTTAGTAGATTTTTTTTTTTTTTTTTTGTCTTAATGAAACAGGGTCTCCCTGTTGCCCCAACTGGCCTGGAACTCACTATGTAGATCAGGCTGCAGGCTAGACTTGAGCTCACTCACAGAGATCCACCTGGCTCTGCCTTCCAGGTACTGGGATTAATGGCATGTGCCACCACGTCCAGCTTTAGTAAAGATTTTTTTTTTTTTTTTTTTTTTTTAAATTTTGTGTTTATGAGTGTATTGCTTGCATGTATATCAGTGCACCCGTGTCGAGCAATGCTGCAGAGGTCAGAAGAGGGCTTTGGATTCCCCTGGAACTGGAGTTAAGGATGGTTTGTAGCCACCATGTGGGTGCTGGGAATAGAACCCGAGTCCTCTGCAAGAGCAGTCAGTGCTCTTAACCGCTCATCCATCTCTCCAGTCCCTAGTAAAGGTTTTTATGTTAGATTTTTATATCTAGAAATGTAGGTAAGTAGTCAGGCCACATGGTCTGTAGTATGGAATCATTAAGATGTCTAGACTATTAGGGCCAGTGAGCTGGCTCAGTGGATAAAGGCACTTGCTGCCAAGCTTGATGACCTGAGTCAATCCTTGGACTCAACATGGTGGAAGGAGAGATCTGTCTTCCTCAGGTTGTCCTCTGACCTCCACAGATGCATCCACATATACACAAAATAAAAATGTTTTTAAAAGACTGTGGGCCACCTTGAAAGTCATTTGTAATCAGCAGAGACCATTCTTCATTGGCTTGTGGTGGTACATTGATGTCACTTGGCTCAGGCTAAGCACTGAATGTGGGTAAATGGGGAGAAGAGTAAGAGGCTTCTCTGCCTCTTGACCTGGTGATGAGCAGGGGGATCAGTTGTTTTTTATTTAGTTTATTTTTGTTTGTTTGAGGCAGGGTCTCATATAGCCCTGGGTAGCCTGGTACTTGCTATGCGGATCACAAATATAACCATAATTCCTCCCTCAAAATCTAGAGTTTGTGTGAAGAAATCTACTCAAGAACGGTTTGCACTGAAAATTCTTCTTGATCGTCCAAAAGCTAGAAATGAGGTACAGTTTTTTATTTGACTTGGTTAAAATATCCTTATCTATATATTTTATGGGTATGTGTGGGTGTCTAGTCCTCTGGAGCTGAAGTTACAGGTGGTTGTAAGCCTCCTATCCTGGCTGCTGGGAACCAAACTCAGGTCCTCTGCAAGAGTAGCCAATGCTCTTAACCAGCCCTTCCTTAAAAGTACCTAGGAATTGTGTTTGTACATAAGGCAGCTTCCTAGAGAATATAGAGCTGCATAAAGAATCTCATGCCCAGACTTCTCTTCCTTGTTTGCATTATCATTATCCAATGGTCCTATCTCAATTACAGGCTAGTGTATAGTCTTGTTTCTTTTCTGTTACCTCACATTTTTTCTTTACGTGCTTGAGCAATACCTGAAGTAAAATGAATTATTTGTCCAGTTTTTCATTTACTAGTTGATAGGATGTAGAAAGTAAATTTGTTGGTGTTTTACTTGTGGCAAGAACACTCTAAGGACATTATCTGGATATAAAAACTCTGGCTGTTTTGTGTCATTCCTGGTACTACAGTTTTTTTACTGAAGTAGGCTTAACCCCTCAACCTAGTGTGGTCAGTTTTTGACAGGAAGTTGGGGGTGGTATTGACTTTGCCTTTGCATACAAACATTTTCTCTGCTCTCTTTAAGGTACGTCTGCACATGATGTGTGCCACACATCCCAATATAGTTCAGATTATTGAAGTCTTTGCTAACAGTGTACAGTTTCCTCACGAGTCCAGCCCCAGGTAAGAATGCACGAGGTCGCTATCACAGCCCATGTGTAGGCCAAAGGTAGCAGAATCGTCCTCTCTTTTAAGTCTTCCCCCCCCCCCTTTGTGTTTTGGAAACTTTCAAACATTTATAAAAGCAGACAGAATTATGAAATGAATCCCTGAGTTCTCATCACTGAATCTCAGCTGTCTGTGGGAAATCTTGTTTCATCTGCTGTTCTCCTGCCCCCTTATTTTGCTTATTTTCTCTTTTTAAAAAATCATTTAAGAGTTAGGGATATAGGCCAATGGTAGAGTGCTTGCCTAAAAGAGTTTCCAGTTTAGTTCAAAAGAAAACATTAAAGAGCCAGGTGCAGTAGTGCCTGCCTGTAATCCTAGCGCTAGGGAAGCCGAGGCAGAAGGATCAAGTTCCAGACCAGCCAGGGTTACATAACAAGACCATGTCTCAAGTAAGTAAGTAAAAATTGGAATTTAAGCCTGGTGTGGTGGTATGTATCTTTAATCCCAGCATTCTAGAGGCAGAGGCAGTCAGATCTGTGTGAGATCAAGGCCAGCCTGGTCTACATAGTTCCAGGCCAGCTGGGGCTACAGAGAGATCCCATCTCAAAGACAAAAAACAAAAAACCAAACAAACAAAAAAGAAATTAAAATAGATTCTATTTCATATTGGTGAAAAGGGCATAAATGTTATCCTAGGCAAAATCTTAGAGGTTGATCCAGCAAAATGCCCTGTTGCTTAATCTGGCTTTCCTTTTTTTTTTTTTTTTTTTTGGCCTTTTTGAGACAGGGTCTCCCTGTAGCCCCAGCTGGCCTGGATTCGCTCTGGAGACCAGGCTGTCCGTGAACTCACAGAGATCCACCTGCCTCTGCCTCCCGAGTATTGGGATTAAAGGTTTGTACCACCACGCCTGGCCCCTGGCTTTCCTTTCGAAGGAAGAAATTAATATTATTCTTTTAGCTCCTAAATGTTGGGCAAGTACCTTAAGTGAGAGACTGAGATGTAAATCTCTCATCATTGCAGTGTGATAGGCATCAAGGAGCCATAGTATTCGAACCTTACAAAAGAAGGGAGCTACTGGAATTGCAATCTGGGAGGCCATGGAAAGGCTAGCTCTGGAAAGTAGGTATTGTACAGGCTGAGAAGGAGAATGAATTTAACAGACCAGTGGGAAATTGAATGATTATTTTTACAACTCTGCTCTGTTGGTGAAAGCATTTGGATGGAAGTTAGAAGAAGCATTTATATGAAAGAATAGTAACCAAAATTCATGGGTTTTTCTTTAGTTTTATTTATTTATTTATTTTTTTAATTTTGAGTCTGAGAGTTTTTGCTCTTTTTCAGTGGCTATCTTACCCTGGACTTAGGAAGTGGTTATACACTTTGTAGATGAGTTTGCTTTAGGTCAGTTTTTTTTTTAATGTTTCAAGGTTTGTTTTTGTTTTGTTTTTTTGTTTGTTTTGGGTTTTTTTTTAACTTAACAAAATCAAATGCTTTCAAACAGGGCTCGACTCTTAATTGTAATGGAGATGATGGAAGGGGGAGAGCTATTTCACAGAATCAGCCAGCACCGGCACTTTACAGAGAAGCAAGCCAGCCAAGTAACAAAGCAGGCAAGTTAACCCCGGGTACCAATCAAACTGCCAACTATGTTGGTTAACCAGTATAATTTCATTAGGGGGAATAAAAGAAAGCTTAAAGAAAAGCTCTATTTGACTTCTCATTGCCTGCTTTGTTATATAATCAGAAAGGATGTCTTAACAGGAGAAATGTGACCCTTCTTTTGGGGGGAGGCCTGTGTTCTTAATTGATTGCCAACTGTTTCCTAAGGGTTATTGTGAGACTTTAATATACTGAGAGAATCTCTGTGGATAGCTTTAAGAGGTAACTTTCAAGCACTGTTCCTGGACTTTGAGGTGAAATGCTGTTGATACCATCTGAAAGAGCATAGACTACAAGAGGATGTTTGAAGGCATCTGCATTTTAAGATGTTTTCTGCATGAACTATCTTGTCATTTCTGCAGATTCTAATATTCTCAGATCTTTGTAAGCATGAATTATTCCTAGTTCTATCATATTTTGTTGTTGTAGAAATGATTTATGACCCATTCAGTACTAGAACTCTGACCTGTGCTGGCCACTTAATAGAGGTGAGAAGCTAAACCATAAGGCCTATCTTCAGACCCAGCAAGCAGGAAGCACAGCCCAGCTAGGTTTTTAAAAAGCTATTCTAAGGCTGGGCGTGGTGGCGCACGCCTTTAATCCCAGCACCCAGGAGGCAGAGGCAGGTGGATCTCTGTGAGTTCAAGGCCTGCCTCGTCTACATAGTGAGTTCTAGTACAGCTAGGGCTACAGGGAGACCCTGTCTCAAAAAGACCAAAAAAAAAAGGCTGTTCTAAATTTTACATGATAATTTTTTTCAAGCATTTTTGGGTGCCTCCTTTCCAGTTGACTAGGGAACAGCCAATACTTGGAATGCTGAGAAGTTTTCATACTGAGAGTTAAGGAGCTATAAAATATGTTGTATTTAATTTTTTAAATTATACTTTTCAAATACTAAGATCCAAGGATGAGATCTGATAATCTGTAAAACAAAAACTATAAAAGCACCCACACAGGCAACACTGTCAACAATTAAGGTGAACAAATTGCAGTTAAAAGATTCCAACAAGCTAGTTTGAAGGTGGAGCATGCCTTCATCTCCTAGAGTATAGTTGTCACTGAGTGGGTCTTCCTGCTGCTGCCCAGGTGGGGAAGCCTGTGCCTACTGAGGGCTCCTGCCTTAGGGTTCTCCCTACAGTACTGGTCACCACTGATGAATGCAAAGGACCACTTTGTTTTTCCTATAGGAAGTTTATTCTGATAAAAATGTTTGGAAGTCATTTTTGTTTAACAAAATGTAGGTTGTGGTTAAACTAAGTTTAATTTATTTCTCTTACCAAATCTTAATTTCTGTTTTGAAATTGAAACTGACCATAGTTGTAATTAACTTAAAAAAGATTTGTTTTTAACATCCTGAGTTCTCCACACTAGGAGTATTAAAGATTGTTCTTTTCTAAGAAGGGGTTCCGTTGTGTCCTTTTTCAGATTGCTTTGGCTCTCCAGCACTGTCACTTGTTAAACATTGCACACAGAGACCTCAAGCCTGAAAATCTGCTTTTCAAGGATAACTCTTTGGTAAGAAAACTTGCTTTCCTTCATTTTATTGCTGCCACTTTTTGGGTGAAAAAAAAAAAAAAGATGATCTTGTGTATCCCTGGTTAGCCTTGAACTCACTCTGTAGTCAAGGTTGACCTTGAATTCCTGATCTTAGCTCCCTGCACCTCATTGCTAGGATTATAGGTTTGTTACCACCACATACAATTTATGTTGTGCTGGGGATCAAATGCAGGGCTTTGTGCTCTAGCAAGCACACTACCAACTGAACAGCTCTCTTGTTTTTTTTTTTTTTTGAGAAAGTCTTGAGATAGCCCAGACTGCCCTGGAGCCCACCTATATAGATTAAGTTGACCTAAAACTTGAAATACTTCTGCTTCTGCTTCCTGAGTGCTGGCTGGTATGTGTCACCATGCTGGACTAGTACTATCTTTCTTAATGTAACTCAGGAATTTCTGCGCTGTGCCTTACATGCACTGAATCCCTGTTGAAGTAGTTTTAGGCCAAAGTGCTTCTAACTCCTTTTTTCTATTTGTTTACTTATTAGAGGGTCAGACATTTTACCATATCCATGGCGTTGATAATTTTGCATGATACCAATACATTTGTAGAACTTACGATTTCGGATGTTATTTGGAAGGTCTTTGGGAAGAGGCAAGAATCCATATACTCTTTTAAAAAATATTGTATTTATTATTTCTATTTAATGCATATGATTGTATTGCCTGCATGTGTGTTGTAAGTGCACCCATGTCGTGCAAAGATTGTGGAGGCCAGAAGAGGGCGTTGGATCCCTTGGAACTGGAGTTACAGACAGTTGTTAGCTGCCATGTGGATGCTGGGAATCCAACATCAAATGTTCTTAACTGCTGAGCCATCTTTCCCGCTCCCCATATTCTCTTAAATTACCTTGAAATTTATTTGCTGTTAACCCTGATAAGGTGTGTTTTTCCCTTTATTGCTGTCCCTGCTCCATATCCTATCAGTCAGTTGCTCTAGTTGTCATGAAGCTTATGTGTAATGTTCAGAGTGAAGCAGTACTCTGGATTGCTGTAAGGCCATGTGATAGAGGGAGGGCCGGTAGGCTAAGACTTTGATTTTACGGAGTGTGTTCACAAGTTAGAAAGCAAGGCTTTGTGAATAGAAATCCCTTCTATGTTGCTTGGAACAGTTCCTTAGTAGGAATCAAAACTGTTTCCAGATTTTCAGACATTCTTTTTTTGTTGTTATTTGAGACTGGGTTTCACTTTGTAGCCCAAGCTGGCCTGGAACTCACAGAGATCCACCTGCCTATGCCTCCCAAGTGCTGGGACTAAAGGTGTGCGCTACTACACCCGGCTTTTTTTGAGACAAGGTCTTACCCTGGAGGCCAGGTTGGCCTTAAACTCATGGTGATCTCTTGCTTCAGTCTCCAGAGTGCTGGGATTACAGGTATAATCCATTACACCTTGCTTCTGTTTAGTGTTTACTGACCACCTTGGAGTAGTGACCAATTTATTTATTTATTTTTTTTCAGGATGCTCCAGTGAAGTTATGTGACTTTGGATTTGCTAAAGTTGACCAAGGTGATTTGATGACACCCCAATTTACCCCATATTATGTAGCACCTCAGGTAAGCATGTGATGTTTCTTCCTTAAGATGTATTTCCAAACTGCTTGTAGACTCTCGTTCCTTTTATTATTATTAGTTTTATTTTTTGGTCTTTTTGAGACAGGGTCTCCCTGTAGCCCCAGCTGTCCTGGAACTCACTGTGTAGACCAGGCTGGCCTTGAACTCACAGAGATCCACCTGCCTCTGCTTCCTGAGTGCTGGGATTAAAGGCGTGTGTAACCACGCCCGGCCTATTTTTATTTTTTTATGTGTATGAATGTAATGTCTGCATGTAGGTAGGTGCACCTGTGTCATGCATCATTGGCCACCAGGCTTGATGACCTGAGTTTGAACTTGGGCCCTACATGGAAGAAGGCAAGGACCAGTTCTGAAAGCATAATGGTACATAATCTTTTGCAGTATCTTTGCCTAGTTTGAGTTATTGTATAGTACTGGTAAATGAAAACAAAAGTCTGCTTTCCTTTGTGAGATTTTGTTTAAAAAAAAAAATCAGTAACCATGCTCTTCTCCTTGACTTATAGTGGGGATATGTCCTACTAACCCATCAAAAATTCAAAGTATTATAATTTGAAAATGTATTTAATACACTAGCTGCTGAACACCATAGTTTAATAACACAGAATACTATAGAATACCAATTATTAATCATTGTCACTACATAACATCCAATTTAAAACATCATTTGTAGAACAGTAACCATGCTCTTCTCCTTGACTTATAGTGGGGATATGTCCTACTAACCCATCAAAAATTCAAAGTATTATAATTTGAAAATGTATTTAATACACTAGCTGCTGAACACCATAGTTTAATAACACAGAATACTATAGAATACCAATTATTAATCATTGTCACTACATAACATCCAATTTAAAACATCATTTGTAGAATTTATCATTTTTTTATGTTTTTTTTTTTTTTTTTTTTGTTTTTTTTTGGCCAAAGTCTCCTTTTTTTTTTTTTTTTTGGTCTTTTTTGAGACAGAGTCTCCCTGTAGCCCCACCTGCCCCAGAACTTGCTGTGTAGATTAACCTGGCCTCAATAACACAAAGATCCACCTGCCTCTACCTCCTTAGCTCCTGAGTGTGGGAATTAAAGGGGTTTGCTATATGCCTGGCACTTGTATTATTTTTTTGTAGATAACCAAAACTATAGGGAGCAAAACCACAAAAGGCAGGGGACTGCATTATATTGTTCAGTTCTTTCTTCCTCTTCCTCCTCTTCTTTTTTTTTTGAGACAAAGGTCTTACTTTGTAGCATAAGCTGACTTTAGACTCTTGATCCTCCTGCCTTTCCTTGCCACGTGCTGGGATTTTAGGTATGTACTACCATGCTCAGCTAAAATATACCTTAGAGGCTAGGGAAATGGCTCAGTTGGTAAAATGCTTGCCTCACAAGTACAAATACACATTTAAAATCTGGGTATGTAAAAGACTGTTGCAGTAGCATGTACCTGTAATCCCAGTACTGGGACGGCAGAGACAGGAGGGAGAATCCCTGGAACTCACTGGCCATCTGCTGAATCAGTGAGCTTCAGGTTCTTTGAGAGTCTGTCTCAGAAAATAAGGTGGACAGTGATTAAGGAAAGCACCCAGTACTGACCCCTGGCTTCCAATATGTATGGGTACCTGGGACCCTCCCCTGTAACATAGGAACACACACACATGAACACACAAATATATACTCATTTTTTTGTTTTGTTTAGTGACAGGTTTCATGTATCCTGGGCTGGTGTCAAACTAACTGTGTAGCTGAGGATGATCTTTAACTCCTTGTCTTCTTGATCTCCTACTTCTGCCTCTTAAATGTTGGTATTACAAGATGTGAGCCACTGTGCTTGGCTTAAGAAAAAAAAAATGTATGTATAGCTGAAGATCAGTATTTTCATGTGGGTATATTTTTATATGTTTTTAGGTTTTACATTTAGTTTATATGATTCATGTGGGTATATTTTTTCATAATGTATTAGCTGTAGATCCAAGTTTAGTTTTCAATTTAATTAATTAATTATTTATTTATTTTTGTCTTTTTGAGACAGGGTCTCCCTGTAGTCCCAGCTGACCTGAACTCACTATGTAGACCAGGCTGGCCTTGAACTCACAAAGATCCACCTGCCTCTGCCTTCCAAGTGCTGGGATTAAAGGTGTGTGCTACCAAGCCCAGCTTTATTAATTATTTTTATTTTATGTATATGAGTGTATTGCCTGCATGTATGTGAGTACACCCATGTTAAGAACAGTCAGTGCTCTAACCACGGAGCCACCTCTCTAGCCCCAATTTACTTTATTCTTACAAAAAACTGTGGGGCAGTCAAAGGTGGAGCCAGGGTCCTCTGCGTAGAGATTCTGATGTGGGGGCTAGAGAGAGACAGCTTAGTGGTTAAGAGTCACTAGAGTTCAGTTCCCAACACACACATTCCAGTGGCTCACAACTGCCTTCAACTCTAGATCCAGAGGCTCCAACACCCTCTTCTGGCCTCCTTGAACATCTGCATGCATGTGCACATGCATATACGTACATAAATTAAATCTTAAAAGAGATTCTGAGGTGGGTTTTTACAAGATAGTCAAGGAGTATCTGTTAGGTAAGACAGCAAGTAAGTCTTGCAGAAGTCCTGAAAGTAGTCTTGTTAAAGCTCCCTAGAGAGCCAGTATAGCGACTGTGTGAGGTGTCATACTTGTTGGTGTCTGCCAGCAGCAACAGCACCATGGGTGTCATGCTAAGGCAGTACCAGTGGATCTGAGTATGGTGATGAAGTATACGCACACAGCCTCAGCATTCTGCCACCTTTCAGAGAACAGTGTGAAGTTTGTCAGGTATTTCCTCCTCAGCCCGTATCTCTATGCATTGGTATGATGGATATTTTGTAATGATATTACTACAGATGGCAGTGGGTACCCTCTTTGGATCATTTATCTGTGTGAACTATTATTATTATAGTCTCTGGTAGTGACATTCCTTGTCTGTCTGGCCAGTGTGGGTCTGTTTTTTGCATAGGCAATAAAGGACATTCTCAGGAAAAAGCCAGTGGTCACAAACTTCTTGATGGGTAGAAAGAAAAAACATCTCTTCTCTTCTTTGGGGATAAAGATAAAAAGACTTCATCTTCATGTGCTTGACCTGGGCATCTCCTTGACCTACTGATAAATTACTAGTTATAAGAAGAAAAATGTTTGAAAGTGTTGTGTTGATGTGGAATTATTTTTGGATTGTTGATTGTCAGTTCATCTTCAGCCTTCCAGTAGTCTGTCCCAAGCTGTGGAATGCTGGTGGGGTGATTTGCACTAAACTGTCCTTTTTGATCTTAATAGGTACTGGAGGCTCAGAGAAGGCATCAGAAGGAGAAGTCTGGTATCATACCTACCTCGCCAACACCCTATACTTACAACAAGGTAGGGACAAGGTATTTAGCTTTACCCTGTGGACACAGATAGTCAGCCCCTCTTCTATGAGGTGTTTATGAGAGTAGAAGCATCTAGAGTATAGGAAATTACTTGGAGTTTAAGATTCTAATTTGAGGCGCATGCCTTTAGTCTCAACATTCTGGGATGCAGAGGCAGGAAGATCTCTATGAGTTGGAGGCCAGCCTGGCCTACATAGTGAGTTCTAGGCCAGTTGGGGCTGAAGAGAGATGCTGTCTCTAAAAGACCAAAAAAAAAAGGATTCTTATTTGATGGCTATAAACAGATTTCTCACCAATTTAGTTCGCAGTAGGAACCAGGGTCACCTTTTATTTATTTTGCTGTCTATCCAGTCCATTTGAAAACACTGAAGTGACATGATTGCCTTTAATTTATGAGGAAAAAGCCATTTCTGAGATACTGAAGCTCAAGAATACCATGATCATTTATAGTGCCATAATTTCAAATATTAATTCGAAAAAAAAGAAATAAATGAAAAAATAAACTGCTCTAGCTGGGTGTGATGGCACACGCCTTTATTCCCAGCACTTGGGAGGCAGAGGCAGGCAGATCTCTGAGTTCTATGCCAAATAAATAAAAACAAATAAACTGCTCTAATTTGAACAGTATCTTTTTTTTCGGGGGTGGGGGGTGTTGAGACAGGGTCTCCCTGTAGCCCAAGCTGTCCTGGAACTCATTCTGTAGATCAGGCTGGCCTTGAACTCACGGAGATCCTCCTGCCTCTGCCTCTTGAGTGCTGGGATTAAAGGCTTGTGCCACCACGCCTGGCTTTTGTTTTTTTTTGAAACTGTCTCTCTCTAGCTCCAGCTGGCCTGGAACTCACTATGTAGACCAGGCTGACTTTGACCTCACAGAGATCTGCCTGCTTCTGCCTCCCAAAGGCATGTGCAGCCATGCCTGGCCTTGAATAGTGTCTTTAAAATTTCTTTTGATTTATTTGTATTTTATGTATGAGTGTTTTTCCTGAAAGTATGTCTGTGCACCACATGCATGCAGTACCTGCAGAGGCCACAAGAAGGCATCAGAGTCCCTGAAACTGCAGTTACAGTTAGTTGTTAGCTGCCATGTGGATGTTGGGAACCAAACCTGGGTCCCCTGCCAGAACAGCCATTGCTGTTAACCACTGAGCCATTTCTCTGGCCCTGAACAGTATCTTTTTTGCACATGGCAAGTGCTTGGTTACTTGGTACTGTCTGTAGCTATAGCCCCATATCAAGGATCTCTGTGCTGACACTCAAGAGGTTGTAGCTTCTGAACACAGATCCTAGAATTGCTGAGTAGATTAGAAAAATATAGGTTCCTTGGGCACTTGAAGGTAGCCATGAATGACAGAGCTAAGGCTGTTGAAAAGTCTGGGGCACCTGGTCTGGTACCACTCTTCAGTTGTGTGACAGTTTATGTTACTTAGTTATACTTATGACTCTGTAATATCTATCAGTTGTGCCAAAGGAATTCTTTAGACCTTCAGTACCTCTCCCTGATTTTGTTATACTACTTTGAGCCTTTTCCAAAATGGTTTCTGCTGTGTGATAGTGCCAGCCTACATGTGCCTTACCTGCTTTTTTCTGCACTCTCATGCCTGGGTTGACACAGTACATATTTCATATCCAGCTGGTTTTTATCTACTGTTTTTCTAGCTGTGGGCTAGATAGCTTTAGCTGTCAACTTGATAGCTAAATCCCTGGGAAGAGGGAACCTCAATTGGAAAATTCCTTCTTTTGAATTGGCCTGTGAAACATTTTCTTGACTGTTGAGTGATGTGGGAGGGCCCAGTCCATTGTAGGTTGTGCTACCCCTGGACAGGTGTCCTGTGTTGTATAAGAAAGCAGGCCAAAGGAGCAAGCCAGTAAACATTGTTACTCCATGGTCTGTGCTTGAATCCTGCCCTGGCTTCCCATGATGATGAATTGTGCCCTTTCCTCCCCAAGTTGGTTTTATTCAGAGTGTTTTTGTCACAGCAATAGAAAATAACTAGAACACACTGGAAAGAAAGTATCCTGCCTTTGTATCTAGGAATCAGCAGCTTAGGCCTCAGCTATAAGAATAAAAGCCAGGACTGGAGAGATGGCTCAGTAGTTAAGAGCAATGGCTGTAGTTGCAGAGGACCTGTGTTTGGTTCCCAGCACCCACATGACAACTAACAGCTGTCTGTAACCCCAGTTCTAGGGGTCCAATGCTCTCTTCTAACCTCTGCAGGCATTGCACGACACTTACACGTGTGCAGGCAATATACTTGTACACATAAAAAAAACCAAAAGCAACTATTTTACCTCAGACTGGCTTCATGATAACATGCATATATACAGTTTGGGTGGCATTGCAAAATATGAAGAGGTAGCCAGGCTTGGTGGCACACGCCTCTAATCCCAATATTTGGGAGGCAGAGGCAGGCGGATCTCTGAATTCAAGGCCAGCCTGGTCTACATAGTGAGTTCCAAGACAGCTGGGGCTACAGGGAGACCCTGTCTCCAAAAGACAAAAATTAAAAAAAAAGAAAAAAAAATATGGAGAGAAAGCTTTAGGTCAAGACCTAAGATGTTCTCAACTGTTCTAATCCTTGTGAGGACTTCTTGGAGATTTCAGCCTGTGTCAGGGATACATCTGGGCCTTGGCTCATAGGAGTGATCATTTCCCTTTTTTGCTTTCAGAGCTGTGACTTATGGTCCCTTGGGGTGATTATCTATGTGATGCTGTGTGGATACCCTCCTTTTTACTCCAAACACCACAGTCGGACTATCCCAAAGGATATGCGGAGAAAGATCATGACAGGAAGTTTCGAGTTCCCAGAAGAAGAGTGGAGCCAGATCTCAGAGATGGCCAAAGATGTTGTGAGGAAGTGAGTCACTGGGCTGCTGGATGGGATTGACTTTTCATTCTTTGTGTACTGTTGTAATGTATAGTTGTGGTAGGCTTAGGGCCTACTCTCCAACCTTTCTCTTGCCAGTTGGTTGCTCTGACAAATATTATTAAACTGAGGAGATTAATAAGAATTATGGATAGTGACTAGATAAGAAGGACCTGACACAGACCTTTGGTAGCATGATTAAAGAAAATACACCTAAATTTGAGGTATATTTGCTTTTTTTGTCCACCCTTGTGGAATGCTTAGCTATGAACCTGGACGCAGTTCTGGCAGTCCTACTGTTTGGTCTCCCTTGTTGGTCTGTTTCTTCATCTTTTTGTGATGAAGGTAAGCATTAAAAGGGCAGTGCTTGGCAACTGCCTCAGAGACAGTGCCACTATTTCTCTATATAAGTTACTTCCTTTCAAAAGTGAGCTTGTGCTAGGCATCATGATACATGCCTGTTGTATAAGCATTTGGAAGACTGAGGCAGGTGTAAATGAGCTAGTTGGCTTCATCCATCTTTAATAGCACAGACTCCCTATTTTATTTTCTTAAAAATACTTTATTTTTATTTTATGTGTTGAGTATATTGCCTGAATGTTTGTAAGTGCACCCATGTCATGCAGTGCCTATGGATGTCAGAAGAGGGCATTGGATCACCTGGAACTGAAGTTAGTATGGTTGTTAGCTGCCATGTGGGTATTGGGAAGTAAACCTGGGTCCTCTACAAGAGCAGCTAGTGCTCTTAACTGCTGAGCCATCTTTCCAGCCTCCAGACCTACTGTTTTCTAAAATATGTGAGAAAGAATTTGTTGGGATGATGAGGGCAGTGTTCAAATTCCCTCGTTTTCATATACTGCTTCCATGCTGTCAGCTCAGCTCTGTAACAGACCTCTGTGTCCCCTTAGTGGCTCTCTGCCCCTCCCTCCTGCCCTCCTGTGGCTCCTCTTCCTCCTCCTCCTCCTTTTTTCTGTTTTTTGGTATGTGTGTATATGCATGTTTGGAGGTATGCAAACCTGTGTGTGGAGGTGTGCACAATTGTGTGTAGAGGTTAGAGGTTGGCCTTGGGTATTGTTTCTCAGGCTCTCATCCACTTTTTCTTCTTTTTTTGGAAATAGGGTTTCTCACTGGCCTGGGGCTTGTCAGAGGCTTGGCTGGCCGCCAGTGAATCCTAGGGATCTGCCTGTTTCTTCCTCTCCAGTTTTAAGATTATAAGTACAGGCCACCATTTTTGGTTTTTTGACAGGGATTCTGGGGAGTAAACTCCATTCCTCATGCTTGCATGGCAATCACTTTGTTGACTGAGCCTTCTCCGGGTCCCCTTCTAATCAGACAAATGTGTTTTATCATAAGAAATCAGACTCAAAAGCTGGGTGTGGTGGCTCACACCTGTCATCCTTACATTTGGGAGGTAGAAACAGGATCAGAGTTTTAAGATCATCCTTAACTACATAGTGAGTTTGAAGCCAGCCTGGGCTACATGAGACTGTGTCTTCAAAACCAAAACAAGCATTCAAAGAAAAAAAAAGAGAGGAAGGAAGGGAGGAAGAGAAGACGAGAGTGAAAAAAAAAAAGTCCAGGGAAACTTTTGCTGTGACCCTTTCACATTAGGCACTATTACATTTACTGTGGTTTATCCAAATCTGTTTTTGGAAAATTTCTTATAGAATTTACTTCTTGCCCCTCGAGCAACACTGATTCTTTGACTTTAGGAGTCTTTTATAAATCAATTCTTTAGAAATTTGGAAACTTTTTTTTTTTGTCTTTTTGAGACAGGGTCTCCCTGTAGCCCCAGCTGTCCTGGAACTCACTATGTAGACCAGGCTGGCTTCGAACTCACAAAGATCCACCTGCCTCTGCCTCCCAAGTGCTGGGATTAAAGGTGTGCACCACCATGCTCAGCAGAAATTTGAAACTTTTTATTCAACTTGATTCAGAAGGTAGCACTTAGGCTGTCCCTACTCAGACATTTGGAACAGGAGGATATGTAGTTAGAAAACATGGTGCTGCAGAGAGCCCAGGAACATGCCAAGGTGAGCTAGGTATTGCATTAGCCTAAATGGACAAGAGAGAACAAGTATGACCCAAAAGCACATGGTAAAGAAGGAATGCATCAGGCTTTGAAAAAAGTGCCATCCCATCTCAGAGTTAGTCTTTAACTATTGAATGTCTCTAGAACAGAAAAGTTCAGGTCCTGACATATTATGACATCTAGGAGTTTTCTCATGGGAAACAATGTTTCAAAACTGCATGACCCCTGAATTAATTTTACAGCCATTGTCAGTCAAAAATACTTAAAACCCATTGTCCTAAGAATCTTGATATGAAATTTAAAGGTTGTAGGAACTATAACCATGTAGGATTACCTTGCTGAGACCTACAGCATGGTCTGAAGTATGCTGGATAAAGCCTTTATACCGTTTTTAATGTGCTGTGCAGAACACCTCAAAGTACACCCACAAGTGGTTGGGAACTAGTATCCTGCTCTTGCCCTGAAGCTAGAAGTCCTAGGCCTACAGGAATTGGTAGAGTCAAAAGAAGCCAGGGCTATTTGGAGCCAGACAGACCCAAGAACTTCCTTTGGGGACACCTATGCATGGCAGGTTTGTTGGTGTTTTCTCCACAGGCTCCTAAAGGTCAAACCAGAGGAAAGACTCACCATTGAGGGAGTGTTGGACCATCCCTGGCTCAACTCGACGGAGGCCCTGGATAATGTGCTACCCTCTGCGCAACTGATGATGGATAAGGTTTTGAATGATGCTTACTTTGTTGGCTGAAAAGGCTATGTTGAAGGAAAGTTGAGACTTGACTAAATGAGGGATTAAAGGGAAACAGTGTCAGGCATGCTCTACTTCTCAGAGGAACATCCCTGGCTTCCTGAAAAGTCAGGATTCTAAAATAATTTCTTTCTATTAGACTGGATCAAGGCCTGGTAAATATGGACTAAGGAAACTCTCAAAGCAATATCCTTTATATTTGTGTGCAGGTATGGTGGCACAGAGCAGTCAGTATGAAATACCTTCCCCCATGGTGTTTAAGTGAGGCTGGTTGGGAAGGCAAGGCCAGCACACATAAAACATAATGGGAGCATTGCAAGACATCAGAACTGTGACTGCTGTGGGGATTCAGAAAATGAGAACATCTCTGAATGTGTTCTCTATTACCCAGTAAGGAGGCAGAAGCCCTCACATAAGTAGCCTCTGGGTTCTTTTGCAGTTCCAGCATGAGCTATTATTTATTTGGGTGAAAAAAATTATTTTTTTTGTATTTTAATTGAATTTTTGGAATATTTGTACAATATAGTTTGATAGCATTTCAGTCTGCTCTCCCCCGAACCTCCCCTCACTGCCCCCCACCCAATTTGATGAACTCTTATATAATCTGGCCTATAGATTATGATTTGTGTCCCCCAGTGTCCTTCAGTGTGGATGCATCCACTGGACCCATCATAGGAGTAACTGATGAGCTGTCTGGAAGACTGAACCTTATGGTCATCCACCCCTCTGGCTCTTAAATCTTTCTGCCTCCTCTTTTGCAATGATCCCTAAGCCTTGGGAGGCAGAGGTTTGAAACAGCTGTCCTATTCAGGGATAAGCATTCTGCAGCTTCTTGTTCTCTGCACACTGGCCAGTTGTGGGATCTGTATTAATCATCATCTGCTGCACAAGGAAACTTATCTGGTGAGAGTTAAGAGATGCATTCATTCTAAGTGTAGAGGTTGCATAAATGTGTCACTTCAGTTTAAGTGTCTCATAGATACTTATTCTGTGTGTTTGACCAGCTCTGGAATTCTGTAATAGTCTCCATCTATTGTAAAAAGAAGCTTCTTTGATGAGGGGTGAAAGGTACACTTGTCTGTAGGATGCATATTTAGAATAAAATAAGAAATTACATTGGTCTAGGGATGTGGCAAAAGTAGGTTTTTCTCCAGGATCTATGACCTCTCCAGCCATGTGTGTTTGACTTTGTTTACAGTATTACACATGAGTTCCCTGAGGAACTATCACACTGAGGGGGCCTTAATTCCAGTTTGACAGCTGTTTATTACCCTCAACATAAAAGTGTCACTATTGGGGCTGAAGAGATGGCTCAGTGGTTAAGAACACTGACTGCTCTTGCAGAGGACCCAGGTTTGATTCCCAGCGCCCACATGGCAGCTATGAACTGTTTTTAACTCCAGTTCCAGGGGAATTTGATGCCCTCTTCTGACCTCCACGGCATTGCACAACACGGGTGCATTCGCATGCAGGCAGTACACTCATATACATAAAATAAAAATAAATATTTTTTTTTAAGTGTCACTATTGTAGCAGTATCAACAGTTTGCTGGGCCAGTCAACAACTGTTGTTTAGTAGGAAAGAATACAGAGGCTGTTATTGGGTTCACAGCTGGGCAGAACTGTTGATTGGTTTTCTCCCTTGGCAGCTTGTATAGTGTTCTCTGATATGAGAGATAGTCTTCAGGAAGTATTTTATTTGGGTCTTTTGGAGACAGGGTCTTCCAGCTATTCTGATCCTTATTTTTACTTTATCTGTTTGAATGTATTGCCTGCATGTATGTAATTACCCATATTGTTCAGTGCCCGCAGAGGTCGGAAGAGGGCAAGGGATCCCCTGGAACTGGAGTTATGGATGGTTATTAGTGACCATGTGGGTGCTGGGAATTGAACCCAGGTCCTCTGTAAGAGCAGTATCACACATGAGTTCCCTGAGGAACTATCACACTGAGAGGGCCTTAATTCCAGCTTGACAGCTGTTTATTACCCTCAACATAAAAGTGTCACTATTGGGGCTGGAGAGATGGCTCAGTGGTTAAGAGCACTGACTGCTCTTGCAGAGGACCCAGGTTTGATTCCCAGCACCCACATGGCAGCTATGAACTGTCCTTAACTCCAGTTCCAGGGGAATGAAAGTGCACATGGGTGCACTTACACACATCCAAGCAATACACTCATATACCTAAAATTAAAAATAAATAAAAAAATAATAAAAATAAAATAAGTGCTGCTTCTGCATTAATGTTATTTGCTGTGCTGGTCATTGATGTAGTTTTTAGGTCTTGAAACTAGGGTTAGACTATCGATTAATGTTCTCCCTTACAGATTGCATAGTGCTCTCCAAAGCTATGAGAGCTAGCCTTCAGGGGAGGCAGCTTCCAGGTCATTGCTCCAAGTCCTGTGTCCAAAGTATGTCCTATCTTTAGCAATAGGGTCTTACCATCAAGTTCTGGGAGGCAATCAAGGACTGTGGGAATAGCCCGTGAAATTTTGGGAGTCTCTTGGACTACCCTGGCAAACAACTCAAAGAAAGGTTTCTCCTGTCTGGCACTGTTTCTTGTTATATAGTCTTCAGCTATCCTCACAGACTCACACAGAGATACTGTATGTGTAATTTTTCAGTAGGTTTTTTGGACTAATATTCCCTCTGGTTTTTTATACTAGCTAGGTACTATTTATATTTCCTTTCTCTCCCTGTCTTAGCCTTCCTTCCTGCCCTTCCCTTTCAAAGTATCCTCATTTTCCCCATTTCTCCCTTGATAGTTTTTGTCTGCTATGGTCCTACCTCTCTTTCCTTCTTCCCCTTTATTCCCTTAGTTCTTTGTATAGCCCTCCTTCTCCCTCTCCCCTTTCACTACCCCTTTTTTATACATTTTTCCCTGAGTAACACCTGTCTCCTACAAATGTTCTCTCTCAGGTTCCTTCTTTTCCTTTTACCTCCCTGGTTTCCTTCCATTTTCCTGGTTCCTGCAGTTACATCAGGATATGCACTCACTTATAAGGATTTAGTGCTGGAATCCACAAATGAGGGAGAACATACATCTTTTGTTTTTCTGAGTCTGTGTTATTTCACTTAGTATAACAGTTTCTAGATCTGTCCATTTACCTGAAAATTTCATTATTTCATCTTTCTTTACTGCTGAGTAGAACACCACTGTGTAAATGTACCACATTTTCATTAACTACTCGTCAGTTGAGGGGCACTTAGGTTGCTTACTTCTCTTAGCTCTTGTGAAAAGAGCAGCAACAAACATGGTTGTACAAGTATCTCTGCAATAAGATGAGTCCTTTGGGTATATGCCAAGGAGTGGTATAAC